TCTTTCTTTCTTTCTTTCTTTCTTTCTTTCTTTCTTTCTTTCTTTCTCTACAATCCTATCCACCCCCGCTGGCCTGCAGATGTTGGTGAAGCATATGTTTTAAATTTTCTTCCCTCCTGAGTTTTTTCAGTCGCCTCCCGTAATGCTGCATCCAAGCACTGGCACACACAGTTTAACAACTAATCATGGTTTTGATTGCATAGGAACTACGGGAAATTTTAGGCAAAAACTTCCAAACCTGCAGATTTCTCAGAAGCTATGGAAAAGCTTGGGTTGGGGTGAGGAACTCTTGCACTGTGGGCTGCTAGAACCCTGACTCTGACCAACAGCAAGCCCATGTGCCTTTTTGCTTTGTCGCCATCTCACCTCAGCACCCCACTTCTGCTCTGCTACGATCACCTCCACTGCTTCCTGCTCCCTCTACAGCTACAATCTTCAAGTTTCATATCCCTTTTGGGGTGCTCGATCACTGCCCCAAGAAACTGAGAACTTGAAATGGCTGCGGATGAAAACTCCTGCACTTAGTCTACTCTGCACTCTTTCCCCAGCTCTTGTCGGTCTCTGGAAAAGGCATTATCTCTGAAACGCTTGAAGCCAGGAAGACCTGAGTTCAAGTAGTGTCTCTGACGAATGCCCACTACTGTATATAACCCTGGACAACCTTTCAATGTTCCAGACAACTCTCTGGGACTATAAATTCCAGAAAAGGAAGCTGCATTGGCAAAAGGAGTTTCCTCACCTGGAAGTTCCTTTTAACCAATGAAATCAGATTCAAACTCTGTGCCCTATTCAGATTTTTAAGTGTTCTTTTTCCAATATGCTACACGAGCTCCTCAAAAAAGTAACATTCCTTAATATTAATTAATTCAAATACATCCTTAGACATTTACTAGCTATGTGACCCTGAGAAAGTTACTTAAAACTCTGGCTCAGTTTTTTTTCATCAGCAAAAAGGGGTAATAATAGAACTTACTTCTCAGGATTGTTGTGAGGATCAACAGAGATAATAATTGTAAAACATTTAGCATTATGCCTAGCACATAGTAAGCACTACATAAAGTACTGTTGCCATTACTAATTTTAATTTCTATAACTTAATTGGCATAACATTTTAAAATTAATTGCAAATTCCTCTTCATATGTTTATGTGGTTTTCTGCTTCTATTTTCTCCTTTTTGCCCCTCTCTCCTACATATCTTAGGAATTTACTAGTCAAAAGGGGAACACAGCAAAGTTATAAAGCATGCTATTAGGACTTTCTCAGAAACTGGTTTGATTTTCTTCCTATAGATTCTGCTGGAAGCAGTGGGGAGATAAGGTAAATCAAATATGCCTTAAAATTGCACTAAAACTTTTGGGACACACTGTATTTTGCTGAAGAAATGATTTTCCCAAAACATTCTCTGGTGCAGGGAAATTGTAATATAATAAATTTAAAAGCTACTTAAGAAAGAAAGACTTTCAAAATAAGTAAATCTTTAGCTAAATTGCAAAAAGAGAGAAAAATAAAATTACCAAGACAAAAAATTAACAAGATGAAATCCTAATAAAAAATACTTATCAGAACTTACTATATGCTCTATGCCAAAAAAATTCCACAACCTGAGAATTAAAATAGATTAAATACAAATATATATATGCATATGTACACACATACACATATATGTAAGTGTATCCCCTGAGCAGTTTTTATTGAATGAGACACAATTCTTAAATAATCCAATTTCAGAAAACAAAATTTAAGTACTTATAAAGGGAACTGTCTGGGAGTTGAGTAAGGTGTGGTACAACCCTCTGTCCAGACAGATTTACAGGTAAATTCTTATAGGTAGATCTTTAGCCATTTTAAAACCACTTTTAAAGAAAAATGAATAACTATTAAGCATAATTCAAAAAAATTGAAAAAGAAAACACTCTATTGAACTCCTTTTAGGAGACACACATGATCTTAATGTCTAAATGAGGGGAGGCTAAAGCAATGAAAGAGAAGTATAGGCCAATATTACCAACAAATATTGATACAAATACATTTTAAAAAAATCCTAGGAAGTAGATTGTAAGCTTTGTGAGTCGATATCATTTCTTTTACTTCATTTTCGTCCTCCACCGAACTAATACAGTGATAGACACATAAAGAATAATGAAGTTAATGGTACTTAACACGCTCCTGGGCCTTTCTGTGAACAAGGCACTCATCTTCCAGGATTTTTCTCTGGCTATCCCCTTTGTCTAGAATGCTGTCCTTTGTCATTTCACACTATCAATCTCCCTGACTTAACTTTAAATTCCAACTAAAATCCTTGCTTCACTGGAAGCCTTCCACAACCCTTCTTTATTCTAGTATCTTCTCTCTGCTAATTATTTCCTATTAATTCGATTATTCCTATATAGGTTGCTTTGTATATCTTTGCTGCTTGTCTTCCCTATTAAATTGAAGCTCCTAGAGGGCAGGGACTATTTTTTGCCTCTTTTTGTAACCCTATCCTTTAGCACAGTGCAAGGCACATAGTGGGCACTTAACAAATGTTGATTGATTGATTATGTAGTACTTTAAGGTTTAAAATGCTTTACTTCCAATAACTTTGTAAGATAGGGAGTAGAAGTATTATGATTCCTACTTATAAAAGAGAAACTGAGGAAGAAAATGATAAAGTGACTTGCCTATAGGCATACTTCCAATAAATCAATTGATCTATTAATCAATAAGTATTTTTTAAAAGTCTACCCCTGTGAGGCACTGTTCTAGGCACTGGAAACACAAAGGCAAAAATGAAATGTCTCTGAGGTCAAGGAGCTTATATTCTATTGAAGGAGACAACTTGGAGCCAGAACTTTAACCCAGAAGTTTAAAATTAATCATGGTTGATTGGTTTTGCACAGGCAGTGCTCCTCTATAACAAAGAATTCACTGACCTGTTGTTGCTCAGTAGTGTCTGACTGTTTGTGACCTTATTTGAGGTTTTCTTGGCAAAGATGCTGGAGTCATTTGCCATTTCCTTCTCCAGCTCATTTTATAGATAAGGAAACTGAGGCAAACAGGTTTAAATGATTTGCCCAGGGTCACACAGCTAATAAGCGTCAGAGACTGGATTTGAACTCAGGAAGATGAGTCTTTCTGACTCCAGGCCCAGTACTGTATGCACTGTGCCACCCAGCTGACCCTCACTGGTCTGTAACTGCAGTAATTATCCCACTGCTGATTATGCTAAAAACTATGTCTGTTTTTTGTAGGGGTTTTTGTTTGTTTTTTGTTTTTTTGTTTTTTGTTTTTGCTATCACAGGAAACTTTTAAGTCTACCTAAAAGTATATCTTGGACGATTGTCATAAATGTGTGTTCTCTTGCTCTATCATATTCTACTTTCAACATATTCTAGATTAGATAATATCCTCTTCTGAAGTCTGCATACACAAATGGAGGCTCAATTCTTTAGTGCCAGATGCTTTGTACAACCCCATAGGTTAGGTATTATGGCTGTTATTATTCCCTTCCCCCCCCTCCCCTTTTACAGATGAGAAAACTGGAGCTCAGATTAAAGAGCGAGGAGAAGGAAGGGGAATCTAAGTATTTTATGTAGCACCTACTTACTGTGTGCCAGGCACTTTACAAATATTATCTCATTTGATTCTCACAGCAACCCTGTGGTAGGTAGGTGCTGTTATTATCCCCACTTTACAGTTAAAGAAACTGAGGCAAACAGATTTGTCCAGAAACACACA